AAATCCTTCACAATCCCCAATTCATCCAAAGCCAAATCAAACCAACCATGAAATTCATAATATATACTCCTCCAGTCCTAAATATAAGACCTTTATATACACTAGTATAAGGGTCTCATATTTAAGACCAGAAGAGTACTACTCTTATTAACAATACAATAACAATAAATTTTAAGCGAAAACATCAAGATACATGTTTACAGTAACAAGAGTTGATTCAGTTGATCGATTTTACACTCGTATTTCCTAACAAGATTTCATACCTCAGTCTTCTGAAAGGAAAATAATTTCTCTTCAAAAGACTTTTATGTCCATGTGACCAGATCATGTGCCTGTTCGATATAGATTGTTGGAGCAAAATAATTCTTGCCCTCGAGAGATCTCGATCTGGCGCATCTTCAGCTTTCTTATGCTGGCTTCTATGTTCGAATCAATATGAAAGCTCTAATTCTTATGAACAACATAGAGGACTTTAAATATGAGGCCATGTTTTGACCCTTAAATCAATCTTTTTCACATAAGTAATCAGAATAACAAAAATAAACATGGAATTACCAAAATGTCAATAGAAATGTAATAAAAAAAAAAGCTGCTTATAATGCTAATCTATTTTCCTTTATGCATGGAAAGGATTGGTTTTTATAATAAAACATATATATATTCTTGATTCTTTATTTGTAAGTTTACGAATAGAATATTATTATGCAAAAATCAATATATGTTTTATGTTTGAGTTGGTTAATTAAATTAGACGGGGTGTAAGAAATTAAGAATGGAGTTTGATGGGTATAATCGTCAATTAAGATATTATAGATGATCGTTGAAGTCAGAGGTTAAGAAGAATTTTGGAATATCCAAAACGTATTATTCTTTGCGTGGGGCTGAAGCAGATCGATGTTTGCTAAAAGCAAATTACCATGAAAACTTGATTAACAAAAATGATCAACATAATTTCTAAATATGAAACAAATTAATCAAAGTCTTAAATTAATTCATGAACTATATGTTATTGATCCCAAACATTATTATCAAATTCACGAGGCTGACTTTCTAATTTTAATATTTTTATGTTTTCAACTTACAAAATTATGTCTTGCCAAACACTGTAGTTAGTTTTGATAACATTGAACTACTTGTAAATAATAAAATATTTTTATAGAAATTACTTAATTATAATTTAGTAATTTTAAATTTCTTTTCGTTAGATTTTATTTTTTTCTTTATTGATGAATATTTTTGTTAAAAAGCATCAGGTCTCACGTTGTTTTGACTTTGGGAGGTGGAGTCGTTGCAGGTTTTGAAGCAGCATATTTGAATCCGTACTCGACTTCATATATGAAAAAACCACACATACATAAATATATTAAGTATTAGTGTTACTTTGGCTCAAAATTCTTAAAAATAGAAATACAATATCCCTATTCTAATTATAAAACCTCATTTATAAATTACAAACGAGATCTTATAATTAGAACCAGAGGTAGTGTGTAGATTCTAGCATACTATGATTATTCTAGAAAAGATTATTGAAACAAAATTCGGCAAAAAAAAAAAAATCGATATAATTATATACATACTGGTCTATCAATGTGCTGCATATGATTATTGCGAGTGGAAAAGAAAAACATACAATTGACTCCTTGGTACATTGCCCATCCATATCTGTCGCCACAAAAAATTTGACTTTCAGCAACAAACTTTTATCTCAGTCAAGTCATTACTGTAATAATTATTGCTGCTAAAAGGTGTCTTTAGTGGCAATCCCATGTGTTGCTGCCAAATGTGAGTTTTGACGGTGACCCTAGATGTATACACGCCAATAATGAAGAAATTAAAGTTGGAACATTTACACATTGGCTATATATACTAGCTTAATAAAAAAAAAAACATGTTAGTGATGTATCATTCATTTTAAATTAAATTATTAATTTAAGCACAAAACCTTTGAAAATAAAAATTTATTAATTATCTTATTTTATTTCTTCATGATATAATAACGCATTTAATAATTTGATGTGTTAAATATTATATTTAAAAAATTATAATAATTGATGATAAAAACATGACTAAGAAAATAATATTGATTTTCAACAACGATGTTTTATAGTCGCCACTAAAAGGATCACATTTAGCGGTAATTATTATTGTCACTACTGATAGTCTAACTTTTAACGGTGACTTTTATCACTTTTAGTGACGACTTTAAAAAATAGCCACCGAAAGTCATACTTTCAATAACGACTTGTGCTGTTGCTGCAAAAAGTCAAGTTTTAAAATATCACTGCTGAAAGTTATTTTTTTGTAGTATATGTAAGCTAGTGTATGTGTATGTAAGGGAGATGATTTATTTAGGAGATGAACCGGTTTTCTGTTATGAAAAAAAAGAATATGACCTCGGAGGAAGATTAATATGGTAGAATTTCAATGTTATCTTCTACTATTTTATCTCGTCCTGAAGAGCTGCTCATGGAGATTCTAGCCCCAGTTGCTTCTTCTTCATTCTTTGATCTCATTCGTGAAAGATTAAGGTTATGAACATCTATCTCTCTCTCTACACATGATCTTTCGTTTAAATTACACAGTGGTATATATAATATTATATCTAAGTAAGTGGCTGCAGTTGCAGGGATTTGAATGTGATGATGCTGAGAATAATAAAGGCTATATTTATAAGCAAGTTTCACTAAAGGGACTGCCAATTAATGGATGGGGTTATTATATATAATAATACAGAACAAGTTTCTTCCGTCCTGAGAAACCGCACAGGAAATCAGAATTCAGAAGCTTTGTATCATCAAGGACTGGTAATTTCTTTTTTACTATGAGCCGTCCTTCAATTTAAAATCTATCTATTTTGCCCTCATGTTGCTTGTAAAATTAATTGAGTAATATATATATATATATATATATTAATTGCAAGTAACTATATGCGTTAATTTGGTTTTATAGGTTGAGTATTTTAATAATGAAAAATTGGAGAAAGGACTAGAGTACATAAAAGGATCATCAAATTCATGTCACCAAGGTGCTTCCGTGACCATGAGAGTCCCAAATATTCTAAAAAATTAGGCATGACACTACTGAAGAACATGATGAAGAAAAAGAAGACAACGACAAACTCATCATCATTATAAGAATGTTGAGAGAAGTTCATGGATACTATGAAATATCAATGGCGTAACAAGAAATTAAAACCTAACCCTAATTCTTCCCAAATGAAAGATGAGCACAAGGTGAAGAAGAAGAAGAAAAAAAGTGGGTGGTTAAGTGATGAAATGGAGAGGGCACAAGAAATTACGTGCGAAAATGGTAGATGTCATTGGGAAGTTACCTATATTTGTAATTGTTGCATGGTAAATTAATTTATGAATTTTAATTAGTAACATAATATAATACTAGTGTAATTTATAATGTGCATATATATATATATGGGGGATACGTTTACCTTTTTTTAAGAAAAAAATTTCGGTGCTACAAAAGTCCAAATAATGACTCATTTTGTGTATGATTTGTAAATAATGTAATGTTTTTATATTTTCATGGTACATTTTGATATATCGAATGAATTGATTGATTTAATTGATTTTTTTTGGTTGGTTTAAAAACTAAATTTTTTTTCTTAGTAAAAATCTAAAGAGTGGGGTGGTAAATAGGGGTGCACAAAGACCAAACCAGACCGGGTTTAACCTCAACCCGAGGTTTGGTCTGGAATGACCTCGGGTTACACTTTCCTACCCGAAGTCTAGTCCGGTCTGAAACAAACCCGATAGCAGACCAGACCGGGTTGGTCCTTCGGGTTAACAGACTGGTCCACCAAAAAAGAAAGAATAAAAAAAGAGGGGAAGTTAAGATTCGGACGTTCCTACCTTCACCCCCAAAACTCCCACCATATCAATCTTCCTTTTTCTCTTTATTCTTATTCCCTATTCCAATCGCAAACCATAGTGAAAAAAGCATAAGAAATAGAAGAAGTAGAAGGAAGACAACAAATCTGGTAATGGAGTTTTACAGCTTTCAAGCTCATTAACAATCAACAATCTTCATAGCAACACATCAACAAAAATATTTGATAGCAACAGAATTTTTTTTTACAAAGCACAAAAAAATATCAGGATGTTGCGAACTCATGAAATCGAACAAAGCAAGCACAAAAAAAACCCATGATCTTCATCTTTGCTTCAACAGATCTGATACAGGTTCTTTGTCTTCAGCTTCAGCAACTTTGGAAGATGCCATCGACAAGTTCGTCTTCTCCGTCCTTTGCAATGGCGTACTATGTTGACCCACCTTGATCCAGATCGGGCAATCTGTGAAGAGGCCGAAGAGATGATCAAGATTGGATGCCAAAATGTTTGTTGTTACTGCAGATCAGGACGGTGGGTGTCTTGATGGAAGATCCGGAATGAATCAAGCATTAAGGGAGCTTGATAGCTGGTGGATTAGGGAGATCGAAGTTAAGATGAGAGAAGAAAACGTTGGAGGATTGGTAGGTGGAGGCGGAGGCTTCTGATTAAATGAGGAGACAGGTTAAGAAATAATTTTTCTAATAAAAAATAAATAAATATATATATATATATGCCGGGTCAGACCAGACCATTTGGTCTGAGGGGCTAACCAGAAACCCGGTCTAACCCGATGACCAACCCGGTGTAGTCTAGTTTTTTTTTTGTTCGGGCTGTATTTTTCCTGGCTGAACTGGACCGGGTTTCTTTAGACTAGACCGGGTTTACCTGGACCGGGTTTTTTTTGAACAGCCCTAGTGGCAAACATTATCTAATTGAACTCCACTAAATAGTTGGGCTTCTCCTTCGGATTCAGGTTTAAATTGACAGTTTCTGGTCCAAAAAATTGACAATGGGCTTCTAACAGAAACAGCCCATTTAGCTCCGCGGAGTGCAAACGGTGCGTTTTCAATTCTTCAAATTTATAGGCAGCGACCCCTTGAAAACGATTATTTTATACTTTAGCCCCTTCTTTGTTCGCTCTCCAAAGTCCGAACTAAAATCACAGTGACAGACAAATCTTCATGGATCTCCCGCTCTGAACATAACTGAGTCGACTCGTTTCTCATCCGATATCATCATGATGCTCGATTTGGGTCCGTTCTCGAATGAGAACTTCGACCCGAAGAAGTGGATCAATTCGGCATGTCAGGCTCGGCACCCTCAGGATTCGCTGGATAAGCACATGGTGGATCTGGAAATGAAGCTCCAGATGCTGTCTGAGGAAATTGCTGCATCACTCGAGGAGCAGAGTGCTGCGTCTCTCCTCCGCGTCCCACGCGCCTCCCGTGATGTCGTTCGCCTCAGGGACGACGCCATTTCTCTCCGTTCAGCCGTCTCCGGGATTCTGCAGAAGATCAAGAAGGTATGCATTCCTTCTATCATCAAAATGATGGCGAATTTCTGCTTGATTCATTGGGTTTCTATCTGAAAGAGTGGTGGGAATTGGAAATCTGACCGGTGGTATTAGATTTCACATTTTTCTTGTTTCCTCTCAGTTATACACTGAGCCGAAGAACGAATCTTTATGATCTCGGCATTTTCCCCGTGCAAACAAATATTTGGTTATACGCAGGGGATGCAACAGGGAGGATACTCGTAGAATTTGAGTTGTTTACGTTTTCATGTTTTAAAGAATGCCTTTTCCCTCAGGACAGTTCATTGGGATCGCGAAATTATATTATCAGTTCCGTTTCTCTCTCTTTTGTAGGCAGAAGGATCATCAGCTGAATCAATAGCTGCCCTTGCTAAAGTGGACACTGTCAAGCAGAGGATGGAAGGGGCATATGAGACATTGCAGGTAGATATTAATCAACTCTTATGTTTATAAGTTCCAAATGCCAATTGATGTAGCTCAATGAGACTGTTTATAATGATGGAAACTCTTGCTTTTGCATTTCAATGTCAGGATGCTGCTGGGTTAACTCAATTAAGTTCAACAGTTGAGGATGTGTTTGCTAGTGGTGATCTGCCTCGGGCTGCAGAAACCCTGGCTAACATGAGGCATTGCTTGTCTGCTGTTGGAGAGGTTCTTTGTGATATGCTTTACTTTTGGTTTGCATTAGATGCCGTAGTTTTGTTTTTCACCCTCACACCTTGTATTAGGTTGCTGAATTTGCTAACATAAGGAAACAACTTGAAGTCCTGGAAGATAGGCTAGACACCATGGTGAAGCCTCGCCTTACAGATGCTTTAACCAATCGCAAGGTGGTATTTTCTCTAAAAAATCTTTGTTTCTTTAATCTGCAGTTCATGTTTACTTAGCTCCTGTCATTGCTTTTCAGGTTAATGTAGCTCAAGATTTGCGTGGAATTCTCATTCGGATTGGAAGGTTTAAGTCTCTAGAATCACAATACACAAAGGTTCACCTTAAACCAATAGCCAAATTTTGGGAAGACTTTGACTCGAGACAATGGGCTAATAAGTCTGCAAATGAGAAGAATGAAAAGGAGAGGCTAGCTAGTGGTGGTGAAGTTCATTCAGTTGCATCTTCAATATCATTTTCCAGCTGGTTGCCAAGCTTCTATGATGAGATATTACTTTATCTTGAACAAGAATGGAAATGGTATCATTTATACTGTTAGCTTTGAATTTTTGTTACTGTTACCTACTATTTTGTTCCACATGTGGTTACAATAAAACAAGAGAAATTTTATTAACCATGGAGGAAAATTAGTATAGAGATGTTCCCAAAACAGCCAGAATGCAGTGCCAAGGAACAAAAAGAGATGCCTTAGCTCTAGAGATCTTGCAGTTCATTCACATATTTGACGAATTAAGATCCCTGTAACACCATGTGGTTTGTCTCAAAGGGAGTCTATAAAAGAGGTCTATCCCATTGAAACAGAGGGGAGTCTATAAAAGAGGTCTATCGCATTAAAACAGAGGATATCTTTTTAAAATTTCAGTCATCATGCTTGTTCTAAATGCATCAAATGGTTATAAACTGAGCTCACCTCCGGAAAGCCTAAATATTTCACTCAGAAAGTAGTAATGTGCTTTGCTCAGGATGGATAGCATTATTAATAAATCTTCTATGGACTCTTTATTCCAAAAGCTTAATTTTTTTGGAGAAGACTCAGTATCGATTCTATTAATATTTAACTTTCTCCTCATTAGAGGCGTTCATTCAATGATTAACTTATGTGAATGGGGCTGACAAGACTAAAATTTCTGATCATCTGATCATAGGGGCTTTAATATATGTCAAGAACGAGTACATCCTCAAAGCTTTAGCTATAAGGAGAATGCCTATAGTGGATTTTTTAAATATCTCTTGCACCACCTGTTATGGTCCTGAAAGATATAATAATTAAATTCAATGTGCTGACCATGGTTCTATTAAAGCTTTTAGAAATTTGTTCTGTTCTTGGTTTCGTATTGAAGATATTGCTGTCAATGCAGTATGAAATGGCAAAACATTATCAGATTAAGATTATTGAAATATGGAATATTATGTCATAATAATATTCTAATAGGATTATGGCTTTTTTTTTTTTTTTTGGGTTTAGGGTTTCCTTAAAATTGTCCTGTACCCGCCTAAGAAAGTTATCTCATTTTTATGTGATGATGATGTTGCGTTACTTAATTTAATAGAGTTCACTTGAGAATTTGGGCTATTCTCTTGTTTCTCCTATTTCTCTCATTCATCAATTGTTGTCATTGTATTTCTTTTTGTCATGCAAGATGATAAATGAAAGAAGAAAGCAGCAAAGATACTAATTAAAATTTCATACTTAAGATGTTGAAAAGAAGTTTTTGTTTTGACTGTTGCTTGCAGGTGTATGCTTGCTTTTCCAGAAGATTATAAAATTCTTGTTCCAAAGTTGCTATGTGAGACTATGACAACTATAGGTTCCAGTTTCATATCTCATATCAACCTTGCCGTTGGTGATGCTGTTCCAGAAACAAAGGCATTTGCAAAAGGTTGTTTTGATCTATATATTTATCTATCAGAGAAAAATATGGTAGCTGAGTTTACACGTACCTAAATCTTTATGTATACATTGCTTGGTCAGGCAGAAAGATCTCCCTGATGAAAATGCATGCTATGTTGTTATCTGACTTTGAGAGGGTTCATCCAGGGTTAACTGATGTACATAATCCTTGAGAACAAGAGTCCTTCAAGGAGGAGAGTACTGTCAGGCCTGTTAGTATGTTAAAGCATTAGTTGGATCTTAGTTATAACAAGTAACTGGTTAGTCTGTTAGGAGTCAAATGTCTATAAATAGAATTGCATTGGGAGGCCACTGACTGAACAATTCTGTTGGTCCCAAGCCCAAGTTCCTTGATCCATTTGCTATCTGCACCAGTGAGTCTTGACTTCCTTTTCTTTTTATTGCTATCTCCAAGCAGCTTTTCCATTTTTACAGTGCAGTATTTTTGAGGAAGGCTATCTTAAGTTTAGATATCTTACATACAACTCTTAGAAAAGATAACTTCTATTATTTTTTGGGTCATAACTTCCCGGTTAACTGTTTTGCTTTGTATCGACTCTAATGTTTTGGTAGTTTGCCTCACGAGTTGTAATAATCTTCATATCTCTTTGTGCTTTAGGTTTATTAGATATTTTATCTGGAGATATGCAAAAGGGTATCAAGATTCAAGCAAAGCATCTGGAGGCCTTGATCGAATTACACAATACAACAGGAACCTTTGCTAGGAATATTCAACACTTATTTTCTGATTCTGATATTCAGGTTTTGATGGATGTATTAAAAGCTGTCTACCTGCCATACGAGTCATTCAAACAGAGGTAAGAGATTGCAATTCTGGTTAAATGGTAAATAAAAAATTTTCCTGTTAAGGCTACTTATGGTTTAGCTAAATTGTAATGGAGCACCTGGGTTGAGGGTCTTGACTTGATGTCTCATGATTGAGACGTTTACGGAACTGGAAACAGAATCGTTACTCCTATGAGAGTAAACTGTAAAAGCTGACTGATAATCTCTTTTCATGCCACTTTCAATTTCATTAGTAAATGGAAAGGTGTTAACAATTTTGAATCTAAAAGACATAGGAAAACATCTAGAAGAATAGAAATGTGAGATTCTACTCTTATCTTTGGTAGGATCCATCACAAACGTTGAAGAATCAGAATTGATATATATATGCGTCCTTTTCCCTTTTCTTGCCAGAACAATTTGTATGCTTGCTTATTTGCTGCATAATTTAATTTCTTTAGCAAAGTTCTCTAAAACCTCAAGCAAATCCTTCGATTCTTTCACTGGATTGTGTCAAAAGATCCCTTCCCTTTTCTAATTCCTAACAATCTCTCTTGTGCTTCTCTCAGATTTCTCTATGATTTTTCTAGCAACTCTAGAGAGAACATCCAACCTCTGTTTACGTGGGAAATCTGATAAGATGCTCAGGATTGCAATAAGATAAAAATCTTCTCTTTATCCTAGTAGAGAGATTTATCCTACAGTCTTTGAGAAAATATATGACTTATAGTATGAAATTAATCTATCAAAGAATTTCTGCAATATCATCACACGTTGATTCTTCCTTTATCTGTATAAGAGGACTGCCCATGTCTCTTTTTAGCCCCCTTTATCAATTCTGAGAATTATCCTTGCTTTATTATATTTCATTACATCATTGGCATGCTTTACAGGTATGGACAAATGGAGCGTGCCATCCTTTCTTTTGAAACTGCTGGAGTAGATTTACGAGGAGCTGTTATTCGAGGTGTGGGAGCACAGGGAGTTGAACTCAGTGAAACAGTGAGAAGGATGGAGGAGTCAATTCCCCAGGTTATTGTGCTTCTTGAAGCAGCCGTTGAGAGATGCATCAACTTCACTGGAGGTTCTGAGGCAGATGAACTAATTCTTGCTCTTGATGATGTAATGTTACAATACATCTCTACTCTGCAAGAAACCCTCAAATCACTGAGAACTGTCTGTGGGGTGGATAACATTGGTGATGGTTCTTCAAAGCGGGAGATGGATAAGAAGGATGGAAACCAAAACACAAGGAGAGTTGATTTGATCTCAAATGAAGAGGAGTGGTCAATCGTCCAAGGGGCCTTGCAAATCCTCACAGTTGCGGATAATTTGACAAGCAGAGCTTCTGTCTTTGAAGCATCTCTGAGAGCTACTCTTGCTAGATTGAGCACAAGTCTTTCACTATCAGTATTTGGTTCGAGTTTAGACCAAAACCAGGTTACAAGTGGCACTGAAGATGGTTTAGGTGGAAGGGCTGCCTTGGATGTGGCATCTCTTCGGCTGGTTGATGTGCCTGAAAAGGCTAGGAAACTCTTTAACCTTTTGAATCAGGTATATATTGGATTACCTTTAATGTCAGCCTCTCTTTTCTTAATGTTAGAAGTTCTATTAAGCTGAGAGATAGCAAGAAGTGGGGATATGTTTCAAATACGGGAAGTGGGGGGACATTAAAAAACTAAATGTGCTGATTTTCACTTCCATTCTTTTAAGCATCACTCACTCTCTTCTCCCATCCTCCTTGGATTGTGGTGGAATTTGAGACATGGTCAAAGTTAACTTCTTGATGGCTCTTGTCCTCCTTTATCTCCCCAGCAATGGGTTACATTTGAGAAAATCAAAATTAGCAAGAGTTCCGTCTCAGTATGGTTGTATGTTCCTTCAAATCTATCCACCCTGTCTCATCTCTTCCCTCTCTGCTTCTGCTTTACTTTGCATTAAATGAAAGTGATAAAATACAACTATTTCCTTCTATCCAGGAATAAAAGAAACAGCTACTTTTATGTGTGTGTAAACTGAAGATATTATTTCTTCCAAAGGGGTGAAAAAAAAAATATACAATAGATTTTTCAGTGATAAATTTATGGGTTAATATAATCTTTGGTTCTTCAAGTTTGCTCTCATTTTGGTTTTGGTCTCTCAAGTTTCAAACCATAGGTTTTGGTCCTTTTAAGGGGCAAAATGATTCAGATTTTTATTTGATTATAGGGACCAGTATTTTAAATGAAAAGAAACTTAAGGAACCAAAACTAAAATGAGGACAAACTTGAACTTATTTATAATTTTATATTTCTAATTGCAAGTTCTTGGCAATATTTTATGGGAATGATTTTCAAACTGAATTGACATTAATCCTACAAAGCAATAAATTGCAACTTTTACTTTCATTCTAAATGTATTGGTATCAAAGCTCAGATGGGCTTAAAGGTTTATTTACTTTAACAACTGTTTCTCTTTCTAAAATATTGTCTTTGTTGCAGTCAAAAGATCCCCGGTTTCATGCACTTCCCCTTGCTTCCCAGAGGGTTGCAGCGTTTGCAGATACAGTAAATGAACTTGTATATGATGTTCTCATATCTAAAGTTCGGCAACGGCTCAGTGATGTGTCCCGTTTACCAATATGGTCATCAGTTGAGGAACAAAGTGCTTTTCCTCTTCCTACCTTCAGTGCATATCCACAATCCTATGTGACCAGTGTTGGTGAATATCTCCTTACTTTACCCCAGCAGTTGGAGCCACTTGCTGAGGGCATCTCTAACAGTGACACCAGTGAGGAAGCTCAGTTCTTTGCAACTGAATGGATGTTCAAGGTAACTAACTTATTGTAGCCAAAAAAGGGTGATTGATTTATAAGTGAAGTTTATATCTAAGCCAAATGATTTTTTTGCATTTTATCGTTCTTCTTTTTATTTGCTGTTGCCTGATTTGAGTGTCATCTCCCTTCCATTTTTTGGATGCTTTACCATGAAGCTAATATTCTGAACTCACCATCTAATTATATTTTCTGCCTAAATGTAAAAGTTATAATTCAAAATTGAGCAGTGTGGCACTTTAAGTTAGTTAATAGCTTCTAATTGCTGAAAGAAAATTCTTTTCCAATTTTTTTCCCAAAGGAGCCTCCTGGCTATCAAAATTCTTAAAAACCAAAAAGGGGGTAGGTTTATAGAGTTATGTGACGATGGGGGCTGGTGTATTAAAAATTAAATTATTCCAAAAAAATGGCACGTGATGTTCTTTACTCAAATTTTTTATGCTGTATGCATCTATGAAGTGTTGTTTCCTAACTTTTTTATATTATCGTATTTTAGGTTGCAGAGGGTGCAACAGCTCTTTACATAGAGCAGTTGCGTGGGATTCAGTACATTTCTGATCGTGGAGCCCAGCAGCTATCAGTTGACATTGAGTATCTCAGTAATGTACTTTCTGCTCTCTCAATGCCAATACCCCCAGTTCTTGCCACATTCCAAACTTGTCTTTCTACCTCTAGAGATCAGCTAAAAGAACTTTTGAAGACAGATTCAGGAAACCCACTTGATTTGCCGACTGCCAATCTTATATGTAAGATGCGGCGTGTGAATTTAGATTCATGAATGTTTCTTATGTGACATGGATCCTTTGCAGTTATAAAAGCAAGTGCATATGGTACACCTGGGAGAGAGATGAAAAAAAAAAAAAGGAACAAAAATGTGTAAAGAGAAAAAGTTTCTTTGACACATATTTCTGTGACTCTCTGAATGCATGATTTAGGGACTGTTCGATTCAATTTGGTTTCTCTCATCACACTTCTTGCAGTTTTGTCCTCCCACCCTTTTGCTCTGCCTTTGCAGAGGAGACTGATTGTACTTCGGCATCCCCTACATGTATTTTCATTTGCAATCAGTGGACAAAAAGCATACAATATGATAGAGTAGTTATAGTATATATTGTATATTAGTCAATTGTTTTACAGCGCACTTTGTAGGACTCAATTGCTCCGGAGTGAAACTTTTTTTCCTTTCAAAGAATATATTTGTTTATTCATAAATATTGGATGGCATCATTATGAGTCTCAATCTTATTTTGCTTCAGACACTTTATTAATTGCTGATGAACTATATCTGGTATCTTGCGAAACAGGAAGTTCTTTCCCCTTCTTTTTTCTTTTAAAAAAATTGTGGAAATTGTGCGGGGTTTATCAGTAGATGTTATGTACTTCAATTATCTCCACAATTACAATAACTTTACTGGAAATAATCAAATAAATGGAGTAGAAGAAGTAATTTGCTGGCAGTCAGACTATGGGATTTATTGTTTCTATTACATGTGATGGGGAAAAAAAAGCTTTTTCTGAATTACCAATTTTTAAGTTTTGTCTTGGAACAACTTAGTTTTTGGGGTTTATTGAATTAATACATTAAAATGACTAAATTGTCATGGTTGAAAAAATTCTAAGAACAGGTTTGGGTCGTTAGAGTGAAAATTTAGAGATTGAATTGATAATCGAGAAAAAGTTTAACAATCGAAAGTTCATTTTTTTTTGGTTGAAAAAACACTATATTCTAATCTTGAAGTTGAGTTTGGAAACGAAACTTCGGGAGTGTTTGGATGAAACCAAACCCTAGTTTGAAAATAGCTTCTAGAGAATAGATTCTTGGAAGAATAGATTTTATGAAAAGTGATTCTGGAAAGTGAGTGTTTGGATAGTTGTTATTAGAAACACTTTTTATATATATAAATTACTTAAAAAAAAGCATAAGTTAATATGATAATTGCATAAAAGATAGATTTTTGATATATTTTAATTTGAAGGAATAAAATTGTTAATAATATATTTTTTATCATAATTAATAATACATAGATAATGTAATTAATAAATAATTACTATGTTGTTCTATCTTTATAAGATTAAGATTAAATATTTTTAAAAAAATAATTGAGGGATGTTAAAGTCATATTATTGTTGAGATCTATTCTGACAGCACAATCATACTCCAATTTGAGCGAGAAACACTAATGTATTCACTTTTCTTAAAATCATGGTTTTAATTCCAAACCATGGTTTTAGATATTGGCCTAAAATTGATACTGTTTGGGTGACATCCCATCCAAACCATGATTTTGGGGCCACCCAAACAGGCACTTCATCTATTTACTTAAATCCCCACAAATATCTACGAAAGGATTATACTATTTTCATTTAGAATAACTTATAAACATTTTTTACGTAAATTAATAGAAAACTTTTTTTATATATCTACTTTATATTTTATTAATTATAATTGAAAAGCTGTTTATAAGACATCTCAACTGATCCTAAAGGAGCTCATTGAACATCACTAGTCATGTCACCCTTTGAGATGCCACATTTTTGTTTGATAGACTAGTGGTTGTATTGCTTTCCTGATTATTAGAAGTCTTGGGGACGTTTGTTCATGTAGACGTGGAGAAGAAGAAGAAGAAGAAATAATCTCATACGACAACTCGCTAAAATCTTGCGTCCCACTTATATAACGTGGCCATTCATTTTGCCACAGGTTGGCCGATAGCCTCTTCTTCGCCCATAATTTTGTTTTCCAGTGATATATTTCGTCCATATTCGTGCGCGCGCTGCTTATTATGGTTACATCAGAATGGATTAATCCTTATATAAGAAAATTGAATCCTTTACGTCTGCATTTGAGTATTGCTGAAGATCGCGTCTGGCAACTCTGGCATCAAGGAAATAGTCACGCAGCATAGCCATCACGATATTTGCAAGTCAAATCTAATTCATTTTTGCAATGTCTACTCTAATTTCTTTAAGTTTAAAATAACAAAATTTTTATCTACAAGGAGCCTCGCGCTATTAAAAAAAAAAAAGTAAAATACTCTAACTATTATTGTCCTTTGTATCAATTACACAGATCTCTTATTTATTTTAAAAGCATATAATTTAGTTTAATAAGTTAATACCATTAGAAATATTCTAAAAAACTATTATTTTTTAACTGAAATTTATATTAAAATAAATTTTATTTACTATTTTTACTCCTCTTTTTAATAAATTCCTAAATTATATTTTTATAGACACATGAATTTCATTCAGTTAGGACAAACATAAAAATTTGACCACGGAGACATTCATAAACCGCTCTACCATAATTCTTAGTGGATAACCCAATTTTTGGTTTAATAGTACATCCCAATAGGAGAAAATTTTATTTTTCTATTTAACTCATTAATTCAATTTCTAAAATGGAATTAACCTTCTCGAAAAAGTATTGTAACAATGTTTTCGGTGATGTTAGTAGATGGTTTCGAACTGTCCCAATATCCGTGCCAGGAGATTAATAACATAAATCCAGTAGTCCAAACAAGATGTCCAATAAGAACATCCACGCCCAGACTGATACTAAAAATTTAATTATTTTTTTTCAATAATATATATATACTGGCTAAATATGTTATAAATTTTTGTAACAAAAAATATGTTTAAAAATTTTAAACTATAATTTAAATAATTTATAAAATTTCTTTCAAACTTTACTATAAACAAAAACTTTGATTTGAAATATGTTTTTACAGTTTAAAAAAGAATCAAAATAAATAATTTTTTAATGAATTGATAAAAAAAGAAAATTATAAACAATAGTAGAAATTTTAAAAATATATGTATTAGAATTATTTTTTAATTTTATAAAATTTATTTTTTGGAACATATAAATTTCTAAATAATTACTATGTTAAAAAGGAACATTTGATTAAAAAAATAATTTAAAGTCTACTTAATGGTCAACTAACGATATAAGTGGATGGAAATAGAATATTAAATATAGGAGAAAGTTTGTGTAATGTATATTTTAATTTTAAGAAGGTTTTTATATGTTTTCAAAATAAAAAAAAAAATTTACAATTGAAGTAAAAAAAAGGGCGGTGGGTGTATTTTATTCCAAAAAAAAAAAAAAAAAAAAGCCCCTTCTAGTCACTGCTTTCTCTGTTGCCCTACTCTATTCAAAACTAAAACTACGTCTTTTGGGTTAAAAATAAGAAGGATTAAATGTTTTTTTCAGTAAGATCCAATATTTTAAAATGTTTTTTGAAACACCTTGCAACCGCAACCTCCATTTTAGAATATTTTTTTCTTGTAGTATCTAGTATCCTCAAATAATTTTGATTTCAATATCACTTGCTATCTTAAAATATTTTCAAAGTAACAAGAAGTACCTAAAACTTATAACACTAATACTATTCCTATAAATTTTTTATAGTGCTAAATACATTAAAAATTATTTTAAGGCAGAGGGCGCTATTAAACAAAATTTTAAAATGCAAAATATACTAAAATTATTTTAGGATACACGGTGTCAGTGGGTGCCCTTAAAATATATTTTAGATTATTGAATATATCAAAATGATTTCAAAATATTACAAATACTAGATCTTATTTTTCTTGGGAAAAAAAAATTCCACACCTCATTTTCCTTCCAAATGACAGTTTTGGGTCGGGGGGGCAGCGGATGCAAGCGCCCCAGAAGATTATCAACATTTTTCCATTTTACTCCTACTGCAATTACGCAAATATATATATATATATATATATATAATTTAATGCTCTCATTTGCTTCTTGGGTAATTATTAATTTCTATTTTGAAAAAGTAACCATCCAGTTATACGAGCTCTTCACTACAGTATTAGATGCTAGTAAACAATTCAGTATAGTAATTATCAGCACTTATGTCAGCATATACCGTTTGCTGTTCTCTCTCGCTGTTGTATTTTAAGTATCCATTTGCTTCAGTTAATACAAAGCCTATAAAAGGAATTGCTATTCCAGGCCAACAATTGTATCAAATGTTCTGATAAATTAACATAAAATAAAGAAACCCCCCCAGTCAGGCAAAGTTGTGCATACCAGAATCACTCAGTGCTCCAACATTGCTCTATCTAGTCAACATTCACAATCTTGCTATAAGAAATAGCAAAATATGTTTGTTTATCACGACTCTTGACAGTTTCACAACAGGAATACACATTATCCAAAACTTAAAGAATGAGGTTACTTTTCCCTCCACCTTGTTTCTTCTTCCCAAAAGCAGAATGTTCTAAGTTAAATTTTCCCACGTCACCACTAACAGAAACAATCTAACCACCAATGGCGTTCCTGTCAACGAAATTATGCATTATCATACAGATGAGAAAACCAGTTACCTCCAGGCACCACATTTACAGTTTTTGATGTTTGTTCGTAAAAGAAGATACCCTGCATCTCAGTACACTGATTAATTTTCATGCAAATGACAACCTTTCCCCTCGAGCCACCCAGCAAAACAGTTAAATACCTGTAATTACCGGCCTCTATTTGTTTATCTTTAACTGAAAGCACCCAGTAGATCACTTTCATTAATTTGGATGAGATATACACTATAGTTATAATTCAGATTTTGAACAAACAGGTCAAAACAATGGCCTATTCATGCGTAGACATAATATAGTAATCTTCGCCCCTCGACAGACCCATATTTAGAAAGACATAGGCAGTGAAGGGAGGAAAGAGTTATCCATTTATATCCGATAACACCATATATATTACTAGCATGGTTTTCTGAGAGAGGTAGACAACTAGATAGATGCAGTAAATTTACCTATAACGGGTACCAACGACGGATGTATCAATTTCAAATGCAAGCCAGAATAGGCAGCATTTACGAACCTTTCTGTTAATCTATATCACCTTAAGTAAGAACAAGGACACAAAAGAAAAACGGAAAAAAACAAATTTCTAGCATAAACATTAATCTATTCCTCTTATGGTATAAAGTTCACTTGTTACCCTCAGAAAAAGAGAACCATCCTCAGCAGCAATGGCAATCATGCATGTAATTCAGCTGACATCTTAAATATGCAAGATGCGTTATGAAATCGAAGCATCTCCAGAAAATGCGAGAGCAAAGAGATATTACAACAATCCTTCAGATAAATCATGATGAAAATCAAATTAAAGCGCAAAATAGATTGTAAGAGTCAATAGGGATTTACCTACCTCAACCCTTTTCTCCATAAATAAATTTTGACGAAAGGGAGTATTGTATTGTCTCAACAAAGCTCTGAGATGGGAAAAAAA